TCATATCTTCAATAAGTTTCGATACTGGTAGACTTCCTCACTTGGTATGTTTCTAAAAACGTAACGTAAACGTTTTAAAAACCATTAAATTCAAATCAGAATCACAAATCAGCGAATTTACCGTTTCTTCGTATGTTTTTAATTGTATAAACATCCATGTTTTTGTAAGAGATTCTCTATATCCCTCTAATAAATTAAGTTATCCAGACCCATTTTCGAACAAGACGGCCAGTTTCAACGGAGATAACGCCATTTGCACTGGATAATATATGAGTAATAATTAAATTAATATAATTGATGAAAGTAATACATTCCTGTCATCTATTATTTTGTGTTCTGTGGTGAAAATCCTCGATTGAGAATCAAAATACAGATGCATTGTCACCTGAGGAGCAATATGTAATCCTTCGTTACCAGTATAATGGCGTCCTGTTCTTATTACTCATCGCTTAAAACACAGAGGTATTGCTGCTATTTTTGTTCCTTCTGTCATTATTCACACCATTAGTGCTGCAGACGTCGCACGCTACTTTGTGCACGCGCACAACTACTAAAAATTGCTAAATTCGACGTAAAAAATTCCGGAATGAATCTGCAGTGGGTAAAATATTTAAAATTACTGCCCTCCAAAGCGAATTTATGTCACGGTGGCCTACCTCAACGGAGACTTGCCATCGGCGCAGGACAGGATTTTAGTGCCCAAGTATATGCGCAAGCACAGGTGCACTCTCTATTCTCTCACTCTCATAGATAATAGGAAGATAAACCAACACAACCAGAGAGGGATTAGGCGTAGAACCTACGGCTTTACGAGCTTTCCAAAGCACGGGGGTGACATCGCCTACTTAATAATACTTAGAACACATTTTTTGGACTGACCTGTTACGTTTTGTTATGCTTTTTAAACCTTTTAAGTTTCCCACAAGTAATTTATTCTCTAAAGTAAATGTGCTTACAGTCCAACAGCTATTTATTTTAAAATCTGTACTTAAAACACATAAGTACATACAATAACTGTAACTTAAATTTACTTCAAAAATTAAGAAGGAAATATCAAATTATATTACTAGATAAATTTTACTCATTATATGCACAAAGACAAATACACTTCTTGGGACCTTATCCTTATAAAAAAAAATAACAATATTATAACGATATATCCGCTAACGCGTTTTAAATGTAAGCAAGCTTTAAGTTTTTAATGTTTTTATCTTATGAGGAACCTGAAAAATTATTAAATACAGATAGGTAAAAATGCAAACTGTTAAGCAAAATAGCAACAAAAATTCACTCCTTCTTTCACATACACATCCACATACACACACACACACACACACACACACACACACACACACACACACACACACACACACACCGACGCGTGTTTGCAAGTTCAATTCACTCAATTCATGAGGCACCCATTGTTCAAGTTTTTTTACTTTCCAAATTTGCTTCAAGTGGATTAATAGAGTTTACCACTCACCCGGAAGCCTGCAGCTATCTCTAAAGTTCTTTTGGATGGATCCGCTTCCACAATAGTCTTTAATTCTTCATTTTCAAAGTCTCTGGCCGTCCACGGGGTTGGTTCTGAAGGTCGAAATTTCCAGAACAAAAACGTAGAAACCAAAAACGTACCGTGCTTCCTTTTGCGACACCAGCGCCGTACACACTGTTAATCCTTGGAGCTGTTTCTGCAGTACCGGTTCCACGGTAGAACTCGTACTCGTAAATATAGAGATATTTCATGTTTTCCATTTTGCGGTAATAAACGACGCCAAAGAAAAAAATAATGAGAAAAAAACAAATGAATGACGGTTTTCAAAACTCAAATGTACCAGCTACATGAATTTATAAATTTGAAATTGGAATTCTTAACCAAAGAGGAGATATTTCATATCAAAGTGATCAGTACGACAAAACGCTAATTTCATATGTATGGACCCAATATTATTAAGTCATTTGTCGGATTAGTTCATAGCTAATTATTTTACTTCTACCCACTTTATTTCATTTCTTGGATGCGGTAAATTGATTTTATGCTTTTGTTATTCTATTTGGTATATATTTAATTGGGAGAGCTTACCAGCTGTAACACAGGTCTGTGACCTAGCACGGTTGTAATATACTATTGAGTTAGATTAAGTCCTGTCAATGTAATTTTATGACTTTTTATTTTTATGTAAGGTATGTTTGGATTCAATAAATATTATTATCATTATTGTTTACAACCACTACACAAATGAGGCCGTCATATAACCAAATTTAACATGATACGTCTAAAATCCCGCTGGGTTTCTTGCTGGTTATTCTCAGGACAGACGTTACTTCCGAACCAGTGGTACAAGTGAATTGTCACTTTCAGTAAGAATCACTTGTAATCAATATTAAATACCTTGCCTACCGTGTAGCAGCGGTGGAAGAATATCCACTAGCCTCATATCGTGAGATGCGACGGAGGGAAATTTAAACAGGTGATGGGTAGCCTCTTACTGTTAACAAATCAAAATAATAAAAAACCGCGGTTATAGACCTACTCGTCAAGCGTGTCAAGTCTGGTCAAAATCCTCCCTAAGAGGTAATCTATGGGGGAGACGTGTTCAGCTGGACTTTTATGGGCTGTATATTACCATATTGATTAAAAATATTCTTTTATATTCTGCGATTTCATCAAACAGGAACTAACAAAATAAACGTTTCCGTATTCCACGCGCGTATTCACAAGAATACCCGCGTGGAATACTGAAACGTAATTACATGCCCTCGTCTAAACCGTTCCATGTTATTGTGCGCTGCATCACATTGTCACAGCAGCACAGCTGCAGATATACAATCAGGTAAGTAGAGCCACGCTGCGGCTATGCTATATATGCATTATACAATATATAACATATTGTATATCTCGGTATTGTCAGAAAACAGAAGGTGGAATACGAAAACAAAAAAAATAGTTTCTATAACGTTAACAATGTAGCCAACTCAACAAGAATGATGCGCGTTATATAGCACCGACGGGAATTGAAGCGGCATTATGACGTGCTTCCGCAGCGGATCCGGACGTTATCAGATTTGTTTACGGGAAATTTGTTACTTAAATCTGTGCTCGTAGTGTGTTCTGTGGGAAATAATTTATTAATATTACTAATATATAATTTATTAATAATTTATTATTTTGTGTTATTGTAAGGATATAAAAGTAAATTTGACTGCCTCGTAGGTGTAGAGGCCTTAAACACAGATGCTGATCATAAGATCCAGGGTTCGAACCCTGGGACGGGTTAGAAGTTATTTATTGAGTTTTTCTATCAAGAAATGCTCAGTAGTAGCCCGTAGTCAGGAATTTTTTTGCTTTGTTTCATACCCGAGCCCCGGAGAGGTACGAGGTGGGTCTAGGTTAAGATTGCCTGCCGTTAAGGAAATTCGGTCTGTAGGATATTATTATAATAATTAAAATAAATTTATGATTATAATTGTTTACATTAAAATGACAATTAGGTTTTTTTTCTAATGAGTTTAATTCTTAGGTGATACAGAATAATTTACATAGCCGCAGCTTGGCTTCACTACGTGTAAGTAATTCCAAATTATCCTAATTACGAATATTCAAAGATACAAATGTACGGGAGTTTTCGCATATTACTTTACACATATAAATATAGATGCAATTTTGCAATATTTACTTTTCGCAGTATTTACAATCAACTGAAATTTTTTTTTGTGTAAAATACCATTCAAACAAATGGATCCGTAGATGGTTTAGATTCACATTTTGACACGGTAGGTAGCGCTGTTGCCCAGAGATATAAACCATGCGAAACCGGCTTAGATCGCTAGTGAAGAATAAGTTAACTTATTAAAAAGTGAATTTTTGTAAGGGTAGTGCAAAATTATACTATCACTACAATTTCACTTAGTGATTACTACCAAAATGGTCATTTGTTATATTGGCATTATTTTAGGGTGACACTAATAGAATAGAATAAAATCATTTTTAGACTAAATGTAATACTTATTGAAAGTAATTTTTTACTTTTACCACTGGCTCGGAAAAAAAACCTCTGTCCTGAGAAAAATCAACAAAAACACTTAATAAATAAGGTTTAGAAACGCAAACACCTAATTAATTAGATTTAGCAACGCCAAAGGAGGCAATAAATGACGCTAAGATGGATGACAAAAATAACCTGTTATTGACATCAAACAAAAATATAACACAAAAAACTCGCTCGGCAATAATGACTGGGTACTTTAGGAATCAAGTCTATCCAAATTTTTACTTTTTGTGTTACGTGTGTATACTTTGGTACCAGTGCTGCACTCGATGTATTTTCGATGTCAAGTGTGGGTGAACCGAACTTTAGTGCACTTTTCTTCGCAAGTGTTCAAAAAATATCATGTTCACTTCCTTTTTTCATTGAAGTCTGGTCTTTTCGGCGACGACGTCTAATTAATCTACGAACAGCAGCAATCCTCACGAACGTTTTCTTTTCGGCCCATGTTTTAAGGCCCCAGAAATATGAATGAATAGCTTTACGATCTTCTTCCGTAATGGATGCACACAAGAATGAGTTTTTGTGTTTTGAATCTGTGTTCAATTTTGTGTGAAAACATCGAGGTTTGATTTCTTTTTTTGGTTTTTCAACACAGGGTTTATATTTCCCATTATCACTCTTCTTAAATCCCAGGTAGGACTTACCTAAAACTCTAGCTTTTCTATTTAATTGCACAACGTTTTCTTTAGACCTGAAATGGTGTTCAATGTCCTCGTCTGTCGGTAGTATATTTTCTAAAGAGCTTGGCTCACTCGTTCTTAATAGCAACAATGGGACTTCATCTTCAATGTCAGATACAGACAACCGCCGTTTTCTTTTTTCTGAGGGAGGAACTCAGTGTGGGTCTTGCACACTATCATCGCTCCCAAGTGAGAGAATGGCATCCAAGTCTGGAGATGGTAGCTTGGCAGAACGTGCTGATTGTGATGATACGGAAATATTGTTCAGATTTTAATTTGCTGCACTGCTGACTACCTCATTACTACATTCTAAATTGGAATGTACGATAGCCCGAGTAGACATCACCAACGGCTTCTCTTCGTCATCACTACTGAACAAGATTGGCATAATATCCGCAGTAGTTGTTGGTGACAGCAACAGTGATGGCGTCTCCGACATCGGAGATATAGACTCAAGATTAATTAATCCTAAATCATCTGGCGTAATTAATGAATCGTCAAGATGTGGAGGAGATTTCACCGATGCGGCGGCGGCGACAGAGGCGACACGGTCGGTATTATTGTCAGAAAACTCAGATTGAAGCACTAAATTTATCATTCGATGACCCCGGCCAGTAGTTTTATATTTTTTTAACATAATTACTAAAGTAACAACGCTAAGAAAGTGTTTACGCGCGACAAGTTGCAGCTACACTGACGCATGGCCTTGACCTAGGGACGAATGTTTATATTTGACGCATCTATCTCACTTTATTGCGTGCGTGACGAAATAATGTATTCTCTTTCTAGCACAAAATAGGCGCGAAATTGTAGTGTAGTGATCACGTAGGATAATTTAATTTGCAATGTTATGAAATAAAATTGTTACTAAAAACTCCTATGTGTACAACAGACACATGGGTCATTTTGATTTACAATTAAATGTTAGCTGACACTTGAGAGGTTTTAAAAATGATACGTGCTGTTTCGATATAATAAGATATTCACATGGGAGTTTTTGCTAAGTATGGGTATTCAAAATAGCTTTTCAAATATCTGTAAAACTCATTTTTGAGAAAAATGTCACATAGGAGATTTTAAAATTGCAACGACGATACTAAATATAAGGAATGTGATATTATCGGTTATACAAAACCTCAATGTGTGCTCAATCAAGGCATACTGAGACGTCTATGTTTGTCGGACAAAATTATTATAATTGTGTTAATGAAAACGATAAAAATCCTCTTGCTTGTACATCAGAATTATATGTAACATAAAATAAACTAAGAAAATGTACTGTAACTATTTTAAATGTTTTAAATAGTATATATTTAAATACGGGGATGAATTCCATGTTATAAAAGTATGTAATGACATAAGAACTGTTATTTCATAAGAGAAAATTCCTATTTAAAACTTATAAAAAAATTACTATATACTTAATTGATTTGTATAGATTATGATCAACAATTAACATTGTTCTCAACTAAAAAAATATTATTAAACAGCGTTCAACGGTAATTAAATTTTCTGAATTAATTAATAAAGTACATAAAATTGTATAATAAAACATAAAATTATAAATGATAAATATTTGGTAAAATTGGACAGAATAGATAGTGTGAATGAGACTAAAGAACCCTTATAGTTCTAAAACGGAACATCCCATTTTATTTTCCAATCGTATAAAAATAGTATATTTCGAAATTAAGGCCTTAGACATCTCTAGAAACAGTATATTAATAAATGATAAAATACATATCATAGGAAATTCCTATATGCGAGTATTTCACCAAAACATAGCATAGAATTACTAGGAAAATTAAACTTACTTGAGATTAATTTCATATAATTTAATTAATGATTATTTTTTTACCATAAATAATAGTTTAATTAAAATTATAATATTTACAATTAACAATAATTACATACCAAAAGTACGTACTTTTAATTATATTTTGTTTTATCTAAGATGGATAAAAATTAGTCTATTCGGGTTAATAAAACAGGAACTAACAAAATGAATGCAATGCATCCCGCATTCACAAGAATACGCACGCAGAATACGGCAACGCAATTACATGCCACCGTCTCAACCACTCCAGCCTGTCCGCTGCATCACAGTGTCACAGCAGTACAGCTGCAAATATACAACTAACTTAAATTAAAAAGCGTATTACGCCTGTATTGTTTACTGTCCCCTCAGTCGGTCTGTAGACATTGAATGAATACTTGGTTGATAACAATCTCCGAAGTTGAGGTGGCTGTTTCTAAAATAAATTTTGTAAACAGTTTATACAGCCTTTGTTTCTTGATGTTCCTTCTTAGGTCAGAGTTTTTCTTTTCGAACCAGTAGTTAAAGTAACAAATGACTTTCAATAATAATTACATGTAATCTATATTACATGTAATTATTATTGAAGGGGGATGTCGCTCGCGTCCGTAGGCTTTGACCACCTATTCCTAGGCCCACCCTACACGTGTCCCCCGGGTGGTGCTGAATGAGCGACAAGCCGATACCACAGACTCGGCTCCTCGCCGTGGTAGCGGCGTAAAATATACTACCCCATATTTCGCACAATTAGGAACCATATAAAAGAAATGGCCCCGAGTTCCCGGCACCCCTTTAATGGGGCAGGGGTGCGAAGAATCTCCGGGAGGAAAACCGGCGACGAGGTTCGCCACCCGTCACGTTCTGTCTCCCGGAGAGGCAAAAAGTGGATTGCAGAGGCCCGTCTGGCTACGTTGAATGTATATGGGGCAATGAATGATAAAATGGATGAAGTATGCGATATGATGTATGATAGAGGATAGAGGAAGACGTGTTATGGGTAAATGAGACGAAAAGGAAGGGGAAGGATGTCACTACACATGGCATGTATACCGCATACTAGTCTGGTGTAGACGAGCTCGAGCGGGCATGCCAGGGAGTAGGTATCATCCTTTCAGAAAAAATAGGCCAATGTGTGAAAGAGTATGAATGTGTAAGCCCAAGAGTGCTATGGATACGAATGAAAGTGGGCTTAAAGAAGTTGTTTGTGTTAGAGTTCTACGCCCCAGACATGTCTAAGCCCACTTATATCCGAGAGCAGTTTTGGGAAATGGTAAGGATGGTGTTAATGAAGTGTAAGGGAAATGAAAATATTATTATGCTAGGAGATTTTAATGGAAGGGTTGGGGTGAGGAGGCTTGATTATGAAAGGATATTGGGAACGTTTGGCGATGAAAGTATAAATGAGAATGGTGAAAGTCTCCTCACCGTATGTATGGAAAAGAATCTTTTTGTGACGAACACTTGCTTTCGCCACAAGAGGATTCACATGTATACTTGGGAAAGAGGTGACGATAGAAGCATGATAGATTTCATAATTGTGGATGAAAGATTGAGGGGCGCAGTGGTAGATACAAGGGTTTACGGGGGTTCTAACGTAGGAACGGATCAGTATTTGGTTTTATGCCGAATTAATGGTCTATTCAGGCGTTGGCGCCATCGATCATCTATGTCTACCACTGCGTTACAGCGTATTAGAACAGAAAGGTTACAAGATGAAGCTGAGAAAAACAAGTTCAAATGTAGACTGAAAGATAATATAAGTGGTTTGGATGAATTATGTATGAAGGAGTTAGACTTGGAGAATGTATGGCAAAACGTAAAGAAAGTTTTAGTGGATGCAGCTACCGAAGTATGTGGTGTTAGTAAGAGAAAGAGTGAAAGGAAAAATAATACGTTATGGTGGGATGATGAGATACGTATGGAAGTTGAAGCAAAGAAGAGAGCATGGCTAAATTTACTAGCAACAAAGGCTGCTAATTCTAGTGGTACGAATGGTGATATTAAAAGAAAAAAGGCAGTCTTTAGACATCTTAATAAGAGAGTAAAAGAAGTAGTTGAAAGAAAAAAGCAAGAAAGAACGGATAAAAATGATAGAAGAATATCGGATAACTTCCAGGCAAATATTAAAATGTTCTGGAAAATTATAAGAACTGCCAGGGGACATTCAAAACAGCCTATGATGAATGCTATAAGAGACGAGAATGGCTATATTCTGAATGATGAAGTTTTGAGTTTAAAGAGATGGAAGAAATATTTTGAAAGCGTGTTTATGAGCGAGGAGACAACGTGTGTACTAAGTGAAGTAGAAACTCCGAAAGAAGAGGAAAGAGGTAGCGAGATAAGTATAGATGAAATAATGAAAGCAATGAAAAGCATGAAAGCAGGTAAGGCTGCCGGATATGATAGAGTTTCACTCAAAATGCTAGGGGCTGGAGAGGAAGTCGTGGCAGGCACACCTTGTTTAATTTATGCTGGGAACTGAAGCGGGTACCGGTAGCTGGTGCAAAGCCGTGATAGTCCCAGTATATAAAGGAAAAGGGGTATAAAGGAAAAGGGCAGCGAGACTGTAAAAACTACCGTGGCATCAGCCTTCTTAGCATTGTGGGAAAACTGTATGCTAAGGTACTGATTGAAAGGGTCACGAAAGAAACTGATGGAAAAATTTGAGATGTGCAAGCGGGATTTAGAAAGGGAATGGGATGTACAGATCAAGTATTTTCCATGCGCATGATCACGGAGAAGTTTTTGGCCAAAAACCAAAAGGTTTTTTGTGCGTTCATGGACTTGGAAAAGGCCTATGACAGAGTGGATAGTGATGTGCTATGGCAAACACTGAACTCATTTGGGTTGAGCGCTAGCTTGATACAGGCATTGGAATCTCTTTATAGGGACTCTAGTGCTTGTGTTAGGATTAACGGGGTCTACTCGGACTGTTTTGACATCCATAAAGGTGTCAGATAGGGCTGTGTGGCATCCCCGTGGCTGTTCAACCTATTTATGGATAGTTGTTTGCAAAATTTGAAAGTTCAAGAATGCGGTTTAAGAATGGGTGAGTTAGCCGTCAATTGTCTTCCCTTTCCTTTAATTGTAGTCCACTCGTCTCCCTGAACCACGGCCCTGGGACGACTCTGGGGGACTCTTCTGGGGTCTTCTGGGAGTAGTCCCGGTAGAACAATCTCCTGCTTCCTTGCAATCCTCCTCAGGACTGGGCAGCGGCGATCGTTGGCAGTATGATTTTTGGCGCAGTTTGCGCATCGCGGTTCTTCGTCTCTACCCCTTGGGCAGTTACTAGCGATATGATCTCCGGCGCAGCGAACAAACTTCACTGGCCTGAAGCAATTTGTAGATGCATGTCCAAAGGCCTGGCAACGGTGGCATTGCGATGGTCCTGCTCTTCTTTGCCAGGCCTCTATGACGACTCCCCTCATGAATAGGAGTTCGTCGATCTGTTATAGTTCGTTAAGGCACTCTAGGCTCAGGTAGTCCAACTGCGCGAAGTAGAGGCACCCAGGTCTGCCTCTACGGGGGGGGGATCCCTTTCACGTACTTGATCGGGAACCCCTTTGCCCTGATAGCCCCCTCTATCGCGGATGGATCCGTGCCCACTGGTAGTCCCCGTATACCCACTTTAGTGGGCTTGACCTCTTCGGGAGTATAACAGTACCAGGACATGGCTGGTACTTTTTCGGTCATCTCTATAAGGTACTTTTGTACCGTCCGGAATTCTTCCGGACTCTGGGGGGTAAATCTGACGGACGAGCATTCGGTGGGTGGCACAACTTCCTGTTGAGCACCTCGAAATGTTTCGTCCAGTCCGGTAA